GGGGACTCTCGTACAGGGGCAGCCGAGAGGGGAGGGGAGCAAGACGGCAAATGGGCGACCATTTGCATAATACATGCATTGATATACAACAAAAGGCACACATTTTAACCCAGAAGTAGGTACATATGCATTTATACTGATGAAGATTTTTTCAATTGTAACATACACATCTCCACTCCCACCTTCCCTGCCCCACTTCCTGGAGCAGAGGACATCCTGTTCTGAGAGTTATGCTTGCCTGCCCTTAGAATACCTTGGTACTTAATGGGAAAGGAGAAACAAAAAATTGCAGAGTTGGGGGGGGGTGTTGTCATGGTAACTGCCTTGCTTGCCAGGCAGGATGCCCAGCAACCAGAGCATCTGGCAGTATCTAAGGGGACATCCTGTGGCCTCTATCCACCTGAGGACTCTGCCTCAGGCATTCAAATAGGCATTTCCGGAAGATTTTTACAATAGGGGCTGGTTTGGCAGCTAGGTGTGGGGCCTGACCTTCATCATGTGCCCTACTTTAAGTGGTACTGCTGACCCCTTTATACATCATACATGCTATTTGCCGAGAGTGGCCTCAAGATAGCACAGAGCTCAACAATTTAAATACCATTATTAAGACCATTACCTTGCCTCTCAGCACCTTGCCAGACACCCTACAAGAAGACACCCTACAATGAGAGTGTATTTTACCTACACAGGCTAGATATGTAGATGAGATGTAGAAAAAATGGTTTTAGTTCACTGTGGTAAAAGATTGGGTACAAAATAGACCACAGGGCACAGTCTTAGGATTCAAGTTCCTTTGAGCAGATTAATACATAGATGAGGTTTTCAGAGTCAATTTCTCTGATGCACTTGCAGACTAGCTAGCTGACTTTTCACTCCAGTGGCCCCACCACCGCCTCCTTTCTCAGTATTCAGGTTTAACCTCTTAGTTTCTGGCTTAAAATGCTCCCAATTCAGTTTGGGCTTTCAGGATTTTCCCCCTAGATTTTTCCCCACTATTTCTTCAGCAATTAGCTGCTCCCAAATTCTCTTTCTACTTGGAGATATAGCCCACCCCTTGGTTATGGTCTCCTGTGATTAATGTTTAGCGTTAAGCCCATAAATCATACAATTAGTCTCTCTGAGTACATTCTTGTATGTGACAACCTAGAAGGAAGGAAAGGTAATAATCCTATATAATAAAGAGCTAATATGCTAATTAGACCTTGCAGACGTCCTTCCGGATGACCTTCTGGATGAAGCCAGTGCTGTGAGGGCCGGCTGGGGCTGCGGAGGGGCTGCAAGGGCTGAGCCCCTTGCACGAATTTTGTGCATTGGGCCTCTAGTAAACAATATAAATAGAAAAAGAGGTATTTCTTTACAATCTTTTACATTTTACTCCTTAAAAAAAATAATTTATGTTATCCCAGGAAAACACAGACTATGGAGAAAAGCCCAAAAAGGAAGTATAATGATGGAGAACTTGTCCTACCAGCTATTAAAATGTATTATAGACCTAAGTAGCTAAAATATATGGCACTGATACAGGAATAAACAAATCCATAGAACAGAAGGCATAACCCAAAGTTAAACTTCAACAATTGTGGTAATTTAATATATGATAAAGGCACCACTTCAAATCCATTGGAAAAAGATGGATTAGTTAGTAAATGGTTTTGCTACAACTGAGTAGTCATTTTTATGAAGGAAAAGGTCAATTCTTCCTCATTTTTTACCCCAAAATAAATTTCAAATTGATTTTTAAAATTAAGTAAAAAGCCATAAAAGCCTTAGAAGAGGAGAAATTTCAAAGTATCTATTAAAATTCAAATGCACATACATTTTTACTCAGGAATTCCAATTTCTAGTATTAACCCCAGAGAAATATTTAAACATGTGCACAAGGAGACATAACAGATATTTTTAACATTGCATTATTGTTTGGAGGGAGACAACTTGGAATCACCCTAAATATCTGCCCATAGGTTAGGGGTCAAATAAATTTTGAGACATCCAAATTACTGACCGTAGTATTCAGTTAAAAAGAGTGGATTGGACTGTATGTACTGATGGGAAAGATATCCAAAGCATATTGTATTATGAATAGTTGCATGACAATACATACAGTACAACACCATTTATGCAAAAGCAAACAAATCAAACTAAACTATAATTTCTGTGTGTGTGTGTGTGTGTGTGTGTGTGTGTGTATACAAAATAGAAGCTTGAGAAAGATGTACATCATTCTTAAAAAGTGACTTCTGGGGATGAACTGGGATAAATGTCTAAAGGACTTTCACCTTATCTGTGGAGTTCAAATTTTTTTCCCACTGTGTAACTCACTTCAATGCCTGCAGCCTATGGGCAGAGGCCAGACAATGGGTCAAGGCCACAGTTTGCTCTGACATGGGGCACTATGAGGAGTTTAATTTTTAAAAATAAAAATGCATGAGTATGTTGTTTTCATAATTAGAAAATAGTAATTAATATATGACTATATAGTCAAATATTAAATAAAAATACTTGGATAAAATATGAGTTATTTATGGTATTGTTATTATTGCATCTTGGGTTGAATAGAGAACATCTTTTTTGAGATAGAGAGACCTTAAAGGAGAAGATTGATTCATCTGACTCCATTTGAGCTTTTGAATGTAAGTAAAGAAATAGAGAAAGAAAAATAACAACCAAAGCAAGATTGAAAGACAAATGACAAGCTGAGAGTACATATTTACAACACAATATATTTTCAATGTATAGTTAATACCATAAAGAGGTAAGTCACACAAAAATGTAAATAATCAATAAATACATAAAAATATATTTAACTTCATTATTGACCGTCCTAAGAAGTTCAAATCAAAACAGTAATGGGGTATTGAATCTCTTATACTGACCAAGGTTATAAAAATGGAACATTTGAAACCACGAAAAAACTGAGGGAAATGTACACTTCCTCACCATGCTTGTAGACATACATGTTTGTTTAGTCTTTTTGGAGAGCAACTTGGCTATTTGACCCAGCTACCACATTTTCAGAAATTTACCCTAAAAAGGTAAGCAGGGAAAAACCTGATACAAGGATGCTTATCATAACTTTATTTATTTATTTATTTATTTATTTATTTATCTTTCCTTCTCCCTTCTTTTGCTTCCTTCCACTAACACTTCTAAGCATCTACTGTGTGCCCAGCATTGCTTTCTTAAAAAGTTTCCAGGCACTGAATTTGTAGGAAGGGGATGGGAAGACCTAACATTTTTAAGCATGCATTGAACCAACGTCATCTCATTTGATCTCACAGTAACCTAGTGAGGTCAGGGCTATTTATTTATTTTTAATCCTCACCCGAGGACATTTTTCCATTGATTATAGAGAGAGTGGAAGGGAGGGGGTGAGACAGAAAGAGAAGCATCAATGTTGGAGAGAGACATCAATTGGTTGCCTCCCACTCACACCTCAACCAGGGCAGGGGATTAAGCCTGCAACTGAGGTACGTGCTCTTGACCAGAATGGAACCTGGGACCCTTTAGTCTGTGGGCCAATGCTCTATCCACTGAGCTAAACCAGCTAGGGCCATAACATTATTTATAATGATAAAAAATGGATACATCAATAGGAGATTAAGTAAATTGTGATAAATGAATATTCATTGGGATATTATGGACCATTAAAAATTATGCATCAGTCTATATTTATTGGCATGAAAAATGACCATGACAAAGTGAAAATAGCAGGTTAAAAATAATATGAGAGAGACACCTTTAAATAGCTGTCCTCTTCTTGTCATTCAAATCTCTACTTAATAGTCCCTCTTCCTGATGAATTCATCTCAGCCTGCCCCACAGTCACCCTCCATAACATACTCCGGATTTTTCTTCATAGCATTTGTCACCACCTGATAAAATTCTATCTTGTTCACTGCTACAGTCCTTGTACCTAGCAAAGTGCTGGACACACAGTAGGCAGTCAATAGATATATTACAGATTGTATGTGTGCATGTGTGCACAGGTGGGAACTTTTAGGATGTTGATTAAAATGTTAATAGTTCTCTCTAAGTGGTCGAATTTTAATTTAAAAATTTTAAATTAATTTTATTGAGGTAACATTGGTTAATAAGTTTATATAAGTTTTGAGTGTACAATTCTATAATACTTCAACTGTATATTGCATTGTGTGTTCACCACCCAAAATTAAGTCTGCTTCTGTCACCATATATTTGACCCACTTTACCCTATTTTACCTCCCCCAACTTTCTATATGGTGGGATTGTAAATGACCAGTTTTACTCCCTTTTAGTACTTTCCTGAGTTTTCTAGTTGGTAATGATGATAATGACGATGATGAAGAAGAAGAAGATGATGATCTAAAAAAAAAAATCATAAAGAAAGAAAAAGAGCCCTAGCTGGTTTGGCTCAGTGGATAGAGTGTCGGCCTGCGGGCTGAAGGGTCCCAGGTTCGATTCCAGTTGAGGGCACATGCCCGGGGTGTAGGCTCGATCCCCAGTAGGGGGCGTGCATGAGGCAGCCGATCAATAATTCTTTCTCTTCATTGATGATGTTATCTCTCTCTCCCTCTCCTTTCCTCTCTGAAATCAATAAAAATATTTTTTAAAAGAATGAAAGAAAGAAAAAGACAGGAAAGAAGGAAGGACGGAAGGAAGAGAGGGAGGGAGGAAAGAAGGAGGAAAGAAAGAAGAAAAATATGAGGCTGAGCAGTGTCTGGAAAAGGAGAAAAACAGCCCTAGCCGGTTTGGCTCAATGGATAGAACATCGGCCTGGGGACCGAAGGGTCCTGGGTTCGATTCCAGTCAAGGGCACATACCTTGGTTGCTAGCTCCTCCCCGGCCCAGGCTCTGGTCTGGGCTCATGCAGGAGGCAACCAATCAATGTGTCTCTCTCACATCGATGTTTCTCTCTGTCTTTCCCTCTCTCTTCCACCCTCTCTGAATATCAATGGAAAAATATCCTTGGGGGAGGATTTAAAAAAAAAAAAA